GAATTTTCAGTCTAGAAGAAACCAAAAAATCACAAAAAAAAAAAAAAAAAAAAAAAAAAAAAAACAGAAAACAAAAAAACAGACACTTAACATATCTCCAACATGACTTCTTGGTAGCATCATTAGGTTTCTGCAAACTTTTAAAATAGTATCTGACTCAGACAATTCACTAAACCAGACATATCTTTCCACTTCCACCCTCATTAGCTTACATAAGAGACATTCATAGCACATTTCTGCAGTTAATTATCTAATTACACCTTGCCCAAGAATATGTACACACTTATCGTGCACACACATACTTTAAAGGACATGGACTATGAATGTAGCTAAAAGACATATTTATTTTTGTAACTGAAGATGCCAGTTAAATCTCTGACATTGTGATCATGTACCTGGAATGGGACGGGCCTCTCTCCTGGGAAGTCTGGGAGGACAGGCTTCCATCAAAGGAGTTTACTCGGTGGCAGCCTGAACTTGTGGCCTTGGGTGAGATGGAATCAGACTGGAAGGTTTCACAGACCACCTGAAGTCCCTTCCAGAGGCAGAGACAATAGATTAGTATGTTTTCCTCTTTCAGTATATTTTCTAGAATATTATGTTAGATTCTATACATAGTAGTAGAGTAGAGTAGAGTAGAGTAGAGTAGAGTAGAGTAGAGTAGAGTAGAGTAGAGTAGAGCAGAGCAGAGCAGAGCAGAGCAGAGCAGAGCAGAGCAGAGCATATCCTCTTGAACACTGTTAGGTTCTATACTATTATACAGTTACATACATAAAATATTTGCAAAATACCTATAATATCACAGACCCAGGGATTTTTAACTCAGTTTAACAGGAAATGGAAACAGACTTCTGCAGTGCACCTGTGTCCCTCCCAGCAGTAAGCTGAGTACCTTCCTACATCTTATTTCCTTTTGACCTTGATTCTTGCCTGTTTCACTTCTACCTCCAGTGTCTTCAGGAAAATTAAAAGCCCAACAATTCATCAAAGATATGCTGAGAGCTGAATAGAGGCAGGAGGCTGAAGAACAGCAGAACGCAATCAAATTGAAGCCAGCACACAATTACGGAAGGGCCAGTTTGTAGTGTTCTCATTCATTGGAGGGGGGAACACAATACATTTTTCAAGGTGACATGATGGTCTTTACTCTGATTTATAAGTACACACTCAGCAATTCTCTAACAGGGTAGCTTATTTTAATTATATTTAACTGTTAAATATAATACTGTCCAGGCAAAGAGACATATTTTTTTCACAGACGTCACAGATGAAGTTGTCTAAAGTAAAAAGAGGGCCAGCCAAATAGCTCAGCAGATTAAAGTGCTTGCAAGCAGGCGCAGGGCCCAGGGGTTCAATCCCCAGGCCTGGAGTGCTGGCCCTGCTCCTAGGGCCCACTGAGACAGCAATTGAGACTGGGGTGGTGGCATGAGCCTGTAATCCCAGCTCTTGATCAACAACTTCTTAAATTGAGTGTATTTTGTGTGAGTCTTGTTAGATGATTTTGGAGATTTAAAAATATTAGATGGCTGGGTGGGGTGGATCTGAGCACTACAGCTCCTTTCTGTCAAAAAAAAAAAAAAAAAAATCTGATAAACTTAAACTTTGAACTCAAGAGTTTACAGATAAGTTTTAATACCAGTGAGTACAGCCTGGAGTAGCCTGTGCAACAGAACTATAATCAAACCACAAATAGTCACATAGCTGAATTGAATGTTTTAGAGGCTGTACTAAAAATATTGAAAGAAATATTAAAAAGGAGCAGCTAAAGTTAATTTTATTAATATATTCTTTAAAAAAATTTTAATGTATTTAGTACTGGGTCTACAGGGTCTCACTACAGAGATCAGACTTGTAGCAGTTCTCCTGTTTTCAGCCCAAGTGCTGGGATTATAGGCATGGGCCACCACACCCAGTCTCAATCGCTGTCTCAGAACACCCTGGGGGCGGGGACTGTGTAGCATGCCGGAGATCGAATGCCAGTCTCTGTGCTGTCTGACTGGCCCTTTAATAACAGATTCTGTTAAACTTTAATTACTATCTCAACTTGTAATCAATATTAAATGTTATTAAGAAAATGTTTAGGACCGGGGAGATAGCTCAATGGCTTAAGCACCTGCCTTGCAAGCACAAAGTCCTGAGTTCGATCCCCGGTACCAAAAAAAGAAAGTGTTTACATTTTTGGATACTGTGTGTTTCAAAACCTGGTGTGTCTTTTAGATAATGAATCCCTGGTAGGCACATTCCCAGTGTTCAGTAGACATCTGAGCCTACAGGTTATTATGTAGGACCCTAAAGGTTCAGTTTAATTAGAAAAGAGTTCCTGGAGAACTGAGCTCTCTACTAGTTCTTAGGATAACATTTAGATAGATAAGAGGAAAGAGATCATTGCAGGGAGAGGAAGCAGTGTGAACAGACTCGGGCTACACTGAGCATGCTCCACATGGTGGGGGCAATGCTTAGCTAATGAAGGCGTGAGCAGAAAAATGGTACTTAGTGCGGGGAGGGGGGGTGTGTGCCAGGCAGGGGAAGGCACAGTGGACCAGGGAGCAGGATTCAGTCACGAGGTGGTGACCAAGGGTCCTCCACAGGCTCCCAAGGAGGAACAGATACAGTAAAACAATGACGCCTTGCATACAATAGCCTCAGTGGAATGACGAGTTAATTAATGGCACATTAAGAAGACTTCTCGGGCATTACTAAGTGGCATTTATGGTTCAAGCCAGAAAGACTAGTAGTAGAAAATCCAATTAGATGGTTTACATGAGAACCAAATTACGAGGTCCTAGATTTAAAGAGTTGCAGTGGCATAGAGAATAAAAAGGACGTCTTAGAACATAATGTAAACTAGTATGACTCAGCAACAAGTTCAGCTGACAGGATTAAGCATAATAAAATATGAGATCTGTATACATATTTCATGGTTCTTAAGATGTTATCACCTATAAGACATATCATTAAAATATGCACCATTGAGGAAAAATGATTCTGCTAATCAAACTGGGGCATTTGATGTATTATTAATAAGGACTTTATCTTATACTTCCTGAAACAGCTAGCTTAGATTTATCTAGACACAGCTTTTCATTATGTATCTATCCTATGTATATTTATAATTTTCAATTCAGGATGGTAAATAGTGAGTTTCCCCAAATAATAACTTCCTCTGTGTCCCAACTGCTATTTTATTTTTTAAGTATTTTTTTAGTTTTTTGAAAAGAATGCCCAATTATTCCCTCTTACCTTTTAACTCACTGACCCCTTAGAAAAAATTTTAATGTTGGAAATGATCAAATTCATGTCACACAAGTGACTACAACCTGAAGACCACTCTCAGGCAGGATGGTCGTTAGAAGCCAAAGACTACTAAGCACACTCAAGTACAAGATGCTCATCTCATGTCCTTCTCTCTCTCTTTTTAAAAGATTTATTTATTTATTTATTTGGTACATGGTCTTGCTACACAGCTTGGACTCAGTGATCCTCCCGTCTCAGCCCCTCTAGCACTGGAATTACAGGTGTGTGCCACCACAACTGGTGTATGTGGCCAGCACAGTGCAGAGTTGACACAGAATGCAGTACCAGGGATCAGACCCAGGCCCCTGCACTTGGCAGGCAGGCGCTTAGACTGTTGAGCTATCTTCCTGACCTGTTAATGTACATCTTAAAGCATATAAACCATAATATAAGCGATTGTTCAGTAAATGGTAGATACGGTAGGACTCTTAAAATTTCCAGCATGTGGGGAGGAGTATGATAGTCCTGATAATACACAGTTGAAAAGAAGACCCAATTTTATTGGAAGGCAGCAAGTTTTGATTTGTACCTGTTGGACTGAAAGTGGAGACTGGTTATGTAATGCCATGTCAAGTTAATAGCCATATATATACATATATATATATATATATATATGCATATATATTTCTGTCTGGCTTTTATTTCTTTCATAAATCAAATGTGACAAATTTGCTTCAAATCATATTGCTTTTTTATCTTTCATGTTCTGCTTTATGGGTTACACATTGGCTTCTCACGAAACATGGGACTCCTGAAGAGATAGGACTCTATCTTATGCTTCCTTCTGCTCCCTCCTCCTCACTTCCTGGGACACTCTTCAACCTATTCTAGAGTTGCTTAACAAACACTGAAGTATTTAGTAATGACTGAGAAGGCAGCAATATTTTAATATGACATGAATAACTAACATTTATTGATGGCTGCATGCTAGCCATTGGCATAAAACACTATTTTCCACCAAAGAATTGAGATGACACACTAGTCATGCACTGTCTTGTTCAGTACCGCTACACTTTTGGGAGATGCATAATGCACATTTTCATATTTGACTCATAGCAAACCTGAGGATGTTAAGAGCTGCCCATTCAGGAAACAGGAGAGGGTGTTAGCTCAATAGTGTGATTCCAGACACTTGGCTTTTTCTCCATACTATATCAAAAAATTCCTTTCTTTTTATTTTTTTTCCTAATCACAATAAACTAACCTCTCCATGTCCTGTGTCTTGATTTGGCGATTCACAGGTTTGACCTTGACTATTGATAGGAGAACTTCTCTTAGCTGCAAAGATAAAAGAAATTTCAACATGAATTTTATAAAGTTACAAGCTTATCTTATTACATAAATTAACATCATTTTAAAATAAAACACATTTTAATAGAACACTGTCATTTTGTGGTAGATGTTGTAAGAGAAATTAAATGT